GCCCTGGGAGCAGTGGCCGGCACTGGGAGCAATGGTTAGCACTGGGAGCAGTGGTTGGCACTGGGAATTCATTCACTCTCGGACCAAACTCTCATTGAGAGTCCCGGAGTCCTCCTGCCAAGCCATTCCCAGCACCGTGACAAATCCCTTCAGGACTTTCCAAAGGCTGCAATGCCACGAGAAGAGCCAGAGAAGACACGGGCAATCCCGCTGCTCCAGTGGGAAGTGCGGACGGACACACGGCTCTGAGAGCAGACACTGAGGAGGAGGCATGCCAAAGCCAGAAGGAAGCCTTTAGCTATTTGCATGCGATTATGTAGGCAGAGGGTGGAGGAGAGCTCAACCCGTCTGTAGACCCATGGAGATGAGGAGAACGGAGGGCGCAAGCCCTTGCACTGGAGGACACGGGTGCTTTGGGGCTCCTGGCTGTCTTTGGGGGTGATATGCAGATGCCTCCTTGGCAAACACACACGTGTCTGTGCTGAGCCCTGAGGAGCAGGGGCAGGTTTCCCTTTGTGAGCACAATCAAAAGCAGGCACCAGGCTTTAGGAGCTTAGAGCGCTCCAGGTTTGCTGCCGTCCTGGGATAGCTCCTGAGCTGAACTGAACCAAGCCTCTGAGCCCTCCTGCGCTCACCCGCGTGGCTGGGAAAGGCTGTTTGTCAAAGGGCACTTTGTGTCCTGCTTCAAAACTGAGGAATTCCTTTCATTTATGAGTTTTCAGCCTTTTAAAGGCCTTCTGACAGGCTTCCAGGGCCTCAAGGGGCTGCGGGGAACCTGCAGAGGGGCTTTGGACAAGGGCCTGTAGGGACAGGCCAAGGGGAATGGCTTGAACCTGCCAGAGGGGAGACTGAGATGAGCTCTGGGGCAGAAGCTCTTCCCTGTGAGGGTGCTGAGGCGCTGGCACAGGGTGCCCAGAGAAGCTGTGGCTGCCCCATCCCTTGCAGTGCTCAAGGCCACGTGGGACACAGGGGTTTGGAGCACCCTGCTCCAGTGGAAGGGGTCCAGGTTGGAGCTGGATGAGCTTTAAGATCCCTTCAACCCAAAGCATTCCATGGTTCCATGATCTTTATGACTGTTGAGGCACCCAACTGCGCTGGCAGCTCTCTAGCAACATTCCCAGGAGTTCCCGACACCAGCAATTAAACACAGCTTGAAAATCCACACCAGCAACTCTGGTATCTTCTGATGTTTAAATACCTCTAAAAATACCACCCAGACACCCAACTGCAGCAGTGCTGAGGGACCCGGGACGTGCAGATAAACCGGCATCTCCATTGGGAAGCAACTGCCCCCATACCCCTGCTCATGCCACCACCTTCCTCAGCACCAGTGTGGGTCCATGAGCACACAGGGAAGCACATCAGGGGGATAAATAGGGATAAATACATCTATATATAATAAGATGTCAATGTGGGACCGAAGGGATGGGGTGGGCAGGGGCTTGGTGGTTGCACATCGTGGGTTGTAGACAATAAATACACACATGGACAATGACCATGGTGGCTGAGGAGGTCCCATAGAGCTCGTTGGTGTCCAACAAGACCCCTAAATGCTACAGTTGCCTGCCCAGCCTGGGAGGTTCTGAAGCACAGCCTCAAACAGCACCCAACAAACGCCTGGTCCCCCCTTGGGGTGAAAGCCAACAGCGTCCATCCAGCTCCTCTCCCATCCAGAGGAGAGGCAAATCACTGGCAAGACCTCAGGGTGCAGGAGGGTGCTGTGGGGTTGTAGCTGCTGTAGGTACAACCGTGGATGTAGACACACGCATTGGACAATTCTTGCTGCCTTCGGTGTTAGCAAGCATGAAGTTGTGTTTTTTAGGGGGGTTTTGATGTTTTTTAACTTTTCTAGAGGTTTTTAAGTGTTTTTTAACTTTTCTGAGGTGTTTTTTTGTTTTTTTTTTTGATGAGTTTTAACTTTCTGGGGTGTTTTTTGTTGGTTTTCTCTTCCCCGGGGGTGGGAAGAGCTGATGAGGACGGTTCCATGGCCCTGGTTGGGAGGAGCAGGGTGAAGCCATCGCGACGCCGGAGCCCCGCGTGGTGAGATAACGTGTTCGTGTTCGTTGAGTCACGGCCACAGCAGCCAAGTTTGGGAAATCAAAGTGGGATTTGGCTATCGACAGCATCACCCGGTGCAAACGCAAGAGGCAGCTTTAGGCTGCAGGATTCTCACACGGCGTCGCTGTACCCAGAGCCCCAGTGAAGCAAATTGATCTTTAAAGGGCTTTTGCAACCCAAATTGTTCTGTGAGTCTATGGAAAAGGGGCTGCAGGAAACCTGGAGAGGGGCCTGGGACAAGAGCCTGCAGGGACAGGCCAAGGGGAATGGCTTCAACCTGCCCAAGGGGAGACTGAGATGAGCTCTAAGGCAGAAGCTCTTCCCTGTGAGGGTGCTGAGGCGCTGGCACAGGGTGCCCAGAGAAGCTGTGGCTGCCCCATCCCTGGCAGTGCTCAAGGCCAGGTTGGACACAGGGGCTTGGAGCACCCTGCTCCAGTGGAAGGGGTCCCTGGAGCTGCATTGGAGCTGGAGGAGCTCTAAGGTCCCTTCAACTCAGCCCAGTCCATGGTTCTACGCAAATAAGCAGGCAGGAACACAGGAAAAGCTGCTCAGGCCTTGAAAACGAGGTGGAAAAGGCTCCTTTCAGCAGCCTTAATGTTGATCAGCGTGCACTGAACTTGAACCATGGAAGGGAGAATATGGGGGGGGAAGAGCAAAGCCAAGCATTTATTCCCACACTTCCCATAAGCTACTTGCCATCCAAGTGCTTCAGAAGAAGCCTTTAAAACATGAGCAGACGAAACCAACCCTATTTCAGGTCACATTTCCCCCTTCCAACACAAGGCAGAATCCTGGCCCATTCCCATCCGGCCCAGCAGAATTCCCCCGCGTTGCTGCTGCAGCCATAGGACCAGGAAGCAAAGAGGGGCTCGGTGCCTGGATTCGTTTGCAGCCATCCAGAAGCCTTTGAGCTCTCCTCATCTCCCTGCCCTGCTCTCAGGAGCCCTTGGCTGGAGGTGAGTTTACGCAGCGGCAGCAGCAATGGGGTGGCTCTGCGGGAAGGAGCAGTCTCTTCAGTCAACGCCATCTCAGGTCCCTTTCCAACCCGCTGGAACACTCAACCATTGCCCAAACCCCATCCAAGTAGGGACTCGCCTTTGCTGGCAGCGTTGTGACATTCCGCAGTCTCCAGCGCTTACCGGCAGGGAACGGAGCTTGGGATAAATGGAGTGAGTCACCCCGGATCGCGGAGCGAGTCTGCGGTTGACCAGGGATGTGACTCAAGGTCTCCTGAGCAAGAGGTCAAACCACACCAAGAGGTTTTGGGGCTCTAAATGTGCAGATCGTCACCTATAGTCTATGCTTGTGCAGAAGCAGGGGGGAGTTGAGGTCTTGCTCTTCCCATGGTCCCAGTTGCCTTTGGAGATGCTTTAAAAGCAACCCGCGGATCAGCGGCCTGTCCAAACAGCAGCAAAAGCTGCAGGGCTGGCTCCAGCATCATGGACACTGAGGAATTAGCTTGGAATTAGCTGGGGAGGTGAGGATCATCCTTCCCTCTCGCACACCGTCCCTTATAGGATGCTCCAAAAGCACTTCAGGCTGTGCAAGCTCCGTGGGCACCTACATGGGACCGCCTTGTAGGATAGGGAAGTCAATGGTGTGCTTGGAGGCTGGGATAAACTGGCTTGGGAATACACTGAGGTGGCCAGAATGAACCAGAATAAGGCTTAAGGAGGGAAAGGGGAAGGGAATGATCTCCTGACATCAGGTGAGTCCCAAAGTCTGCTCTGAGGGCAACAGCCTCTGTCCTGCAGGAGACCCAGCAGAAGGATGGAGACGAGCATCCGGGTTCAACCAGGACATAGAATCAAAGAACTATGGAATGGTTTGGGTTGGAAAGGACCTCAAAGCTCGCCCAGTTCCCATGGGCAGGGACCCCTTCCACTGGAGCAGCTTGCTCCAAGCTGCTGTGTCCAACCCGGCCTTGATGGGATGGGGCATCCAAACCTTCTCCATTGAACCCATCCCAGTGTCCCAGCACCCTCACAGGGAAGAACTTCTCCCTTATCTCCAACCTGAACTCCCCCTGTTCCAGTCTGAACCCATCACCCCTTGTCCCATCGCTCCAGCCTCTGATGCAGGTCCCTCTCCAGCATCCTTGTAGCCCCCTTCAGACACTGGAAGCTGCTCTGAGGTCTCCATGCACCCCTTCTCTTCTCCAGCCACCCCAACGCCCTTCACCCCTGTGAGACCCCCTTCACCCTCCCGCCCATGGCTCTGGGGTTACACGCTCGCTTCGGCTCCTTTAAATGCACACCTCAAAGGGCAAGAGAAAGGCAGGTTTCACTGTCAGGGCTGAGCAGAAGAGGAGTCTTGTTGCAACACGAAACTCCTTGGTCAGAGAGAAAACCACACAGGGTGACTGCCTCTGGTGTTTATTGGGGTGGGCCTCATGCCAGAGGAGAAAGGCTTAAACAAACAAGCACGATGGTTCCCATGAGCACAGAGAGAAGGCAAAACCCTGCTCAAAACCCAGCTCCTGAGGAACACGGGGGGAAAGAGCTGGAATCTTGCTGAGGAAAAGCCAACCCCGAGCGTTCAGGTGGGAGCAGTCCCCATGAGGAAGCCGTTTCGGAGCTCGAGCCCTGGGTGATGAGCAGCGCCGGTTCCCATTGCACCATGTCTGGATCCAGGGCAAGACCTTGACACGAGTCAAGTCCAAGCAGTGCACGGGCCGGTCCCTCCACCCATCGCTGCTTGGTGCCTCCTGATGCTTCACAGCCTTACCCCAATGGGGCTGGTGAACAGGTTCTGCTCCTCAGCACCCCATGAGCAGCAGCTTCGCGGTGCCTCGAGGGGAGCAATGAGATGCTCCCAAGCCCCCCAAGCCCCTGGTCATCAGCTGGATGCATCCCACTGCCCCGTGCAGCCCGGTGCTGTGGTGTGCAGTGAAGGAGGTGGCCACCACCTTGGCCATGAGGGGAAGGGGTGATGGTCATCGTGCAATTTGCTTCCTTTCTCCTCTGGGTGCTGGGGACGGGGGTTTGGGGGAAGCTGCTTTCCTAGAACCTCCGGCTGACGGACGTGGAGCTGGTGCTCTTCTTCAGGATGGTGGTCCCAGACCCCACCACCACCGAGTTAGCTCCTCCTCCCATAGAGCAGAATCCTGCCCCCCCTCCGCATCCGAATCCCCCCCCAGCACCGAATCCTCCCCCGAAGCCGACGTTGCAGCCGCCTCTCCCGCTTCCAGCACCGAATCCCATTCCTCCTCCTCCTCCAAGGCACATCCCGCTGCTGCCGAATCCACCTCCCATGGAGCTGCTGCCGCCTCCCACCACGGCTGCGGAGAGGAGCAGAAGGCACGAGGTTACCTCTGATGCCACCATGAGGGTTTGGAGCATCGATCCCAGCCCATTGCGCTCCCATGGGAATGCTACTTACAGATGCTCACGTTGCTCTGGCACTCCCCAGACATCCTGCAAGGAAAAGAGATGGAGCATCAGCTTCAGTCCAGCTCCGTGGAGCCAGGCTCGGTCCATCTGCCCACGGCTGATGGTTTCCTGCAGGAGATGGGATGTGCCGCGCTCTTCCCATTGGCTCAGTAGGATACAGCCGAGCCCTGGCTTCGTCCCCACTCACCTGCACTCTTCTCCCTCCAGCAGCTTCCTGTAGGTCGCAATCTCCACATCCAGGGCCAGTTTGACGTTCATGAGCTCCTGGTAATCCCGGAGCTGCCGGGCCAGGTCTGACTTGGCCTTCTGCAGAGCTGTCTCCAGGTCGGTCATCTTGGTCCTGGCATCCTTGAGGGCCACCTCGCCGCGCTGCTCAGCATCAGCGATGGAGCTCTGCAGGGACTCACACTGCAGGGAGAGATGTGGATGTGAGAGAGGGGCAGGGACGTGGATGTGAGGATGAGAGGGGCAGGAACATGGATGTGAGGGTGAGAGGGGCAGGAACACGGATGTGAGGATGAGAGGGGCAGAACATGGATGTGAGGATGAGAGGGGCAGAACATGGATGTGAGGATGAGAGGGGCAGGACATGAATGTGAGGGTGAGAGGAGCAGGAACATGGATGTGAGCATGAGAGAGGCAGAACATGGATGTGAGGGTGAGAGGGGCAGGACATGGATGTGAGAGAGGGGCAGAACATGGATGTGAGAGAGGGGCAGGACATGGATGTGAGAGAGGGGCAGAACATGGATGTGAGGATGAGAGGGGCAGGACATGGATGTGAGGATGAGAGGAGCAGGAACATGGATGTGAGGGTGAGAGGGGCAGGACATGGATGTGAGGATGAGAGGAGCAGGAACATGGATGTGAGGATGAGAGGGGCAGAACATGAATGTGAGGGTGAGAGGAGCAGGAACATGGATGTGAGCATGAGAGAGGCAGAACATGGATGTGAGGGTGAGAGGGGCAGGACATGGATGTGAGAGAGGGGCAGAACATGGATGTGAGAGAGGGGCAGGACATGGATGTGAGAGAGGGGCAGAACATGGATGTGAGGATGAGAGGGGCAGGACATGGATGTGAGGATGAGAGGAGCAGGAACATGGATGTGAGGGTGAGAGGGGCAGGACATGGATGTGAGGATGAGAGGGGCAGAACATGGATGTGAGGGTGAGAGGGGCAGGACATGGATGTGAGAGAGGGGCAGAACATGGATGTGAGGGTGAGAGGGGCAGGACATGGATGTGAGAGAGGGGCAGAACATGGATGTGAGGGTGAGAGGGGCAGGAACACGGATGTGAGGACGTGAGGAGCCTGGGAACTGGTTGGAGATGAATGCCCAGATGCCTTGTGCTCAGCTGGGCACAGGCTCAGCAGGTTCCTCCCTGCTTGCGATGACTCTTTCAGCCTGTTTGCTTTCAGGGCAGCTCTGCAGGGCAGGACCAGGCACTCACACCCACTCAACCCAGTGCAACCCTGACCTGTTTCTTCACGCTCTCGATCTCGGAGCGGATCCTCTGGATGACGCGGTTGAGCTCGGAGATCTCGGCCTTGGAGTCCTTCAGGCTGTCCCCGTGTTTGCCTGCGGTGGCCTGAAGCTCTTCGTACTGGTGGGGACATCAAGAAGAGCACATGAGGTCCACCATGAGGTCTCCCACGTGAGCCCCAGGCTGGCCAGAGCAGCACCATCAAACCCCCATGGTCTGAGTGACCACCTCCTGGCACGTGGGGATCACAAGCAACGTGTGGCTCATTCACCTTGCTCTGGTACCAGGACTCGGCCTCCATTCGGCTCCTGTTGGCGATCTCCTCGTACTGCGCTTTGACCTCCGCGATGATGCTGTCCAGGTCCAGGTTTCGGTTGTTGTCCATGGTGAGAACCACGGAGGTGTCGGAAACGGTCTTCTGCATCTCAGACAGCTCCTGCCGTTCACACCAGACCTGGCTTCAGCCCATCAATCCCTTACGGTGCCACAACCCTGCTCCACTCGTGGAGCATCCCCCTCCAGTGCCTCTGCACCACGTACCACGTCGTAGAGGTACTTCAAGAAGTTGATCTCGTCTGCCAGAGAATCCAGCTTCGCCTGGAGCTCCACCTTGGTCATGTAGACTGTGTCCACGTCCTGCAGCAGAGATGGGAAGTGAAAACCTGCCCGAGGCACAAAGGGAGCCCTATGGCACCCACGTCTCATGGTCCTGGGGGAAGCAAGACACCCCGTGGCCCAGGCTGTGTCTGGGTGTGCAGAACTAAAGGACTTTACCTTTTTGAGGACCACAAAGTCGTTCTCGGCCGCTGTCCTCTTGTTTATTTCCTCCTCGTACCTGTTGGTTGGGAGGAAGGAGATAGGATCTCGGGTGCTTTGGCCCTGCCTGCTGCTGGCACCCGGATGCTCTTGGCCTCAGTCTAAGGAGCGCAGCAGGAATAGAGCTGCCACGAAGAGATTGATGGCCTTCACCTTCCTCCCAGCTCCCGCCACCTCCAATGCCCTACCCCTGCCCAAACTGAGTCACTGCAGCTCCTTCCACAAGACCCAAGGACCTTCGAGTCCTCAGCACGGGCCATTCCCAACTGCTCCTTGGGGCAGGTCATTGCTGCAGGGTGTTGAGTGGTGGAGATGCTCCAAAACAGGCAAAGGTCAACCTAGAACCTCAATAGAGGGAAGGATCTGCTTGATCCGGGTGGGTCCCAGACCTGCTTCCCCACCCTGCTCTGTAACCCCTTCGGTGGGTGCATCTCTCCAGGCTTTGTTCTTGCTTTCCCAGTACAGAAATAAAAGCAGGAAAATCATCTTCGTCTGTCTTTGAACCCAGCAGCATCCTCCCAAGGAAAGCCCTAAGCTTCCAACCATGAGGGATATTATGGGAAGGAATCCCTGAGGAAATCCGGGAGGAAATTACAGCCGGATTTAGCAACTGATCTCATTAATTCATTAAACCATAATAGTGTGGATTCTGCAGTGGGGAGGACAAAGAGCAGAGGACTCTGCTCGAGCACAAAGCAACAACAGACATTGAGAAATACCTGGAGAAACCTCCACCCATCGTCAAAACCGGGTTGGTGAAGGCTCCCCGGGCCCTTTGATGCCTTCCAACCATTGAAACCAGGGAGAAGTTGCCAATTCTCCTGATTCTGACTGTTTCAAGGCAGGTTTTAACTCTACCTCACCCCCACCAAACAGCCCAACCGTGACCCCTGGGGACGCACTTGGTCTTGTAGTCTTCCACCATGTCCTGGAAGCTCTTCAGCTCTAGCTCCAGCTGGCTCTTCTCGCTGGACAGGGTGTCCAGCTGCCTCCTCAACCCATTGATGTAGGTCTCAAAGTAGGGGTCGAGGTTCTTGCTCCCTGTTCCTGGGCTGCCCTGCTCCTGCAGGAGCTTCCACTTGGTGTCCAGGACCCGGTTCTGCTGCTCGAGGAACCGGACCTAAACGATTGCGGGGTGGAAAAGGGGTCAGGCTGTTCCCAAAAGCATCTTTTTATCACCTTTTCTTCCCCATGTTTTCCATATTTTTGTCCCATTTAATGAGCCTGACCCAGTGGGGGCTGTCCCTGCCCATGGCCATAAGCTAGATAATCCTAAGGTCCTTTCCAACCCAAACCAAGCTATGATTCTATTCCCCCTAAGCTCCACGCTGCCCCCCACAAAGGTAGGACCACAGCTCCAGCCTGAGGTTGAAGGTGGGTCACCTCCCCTCCCCTATCTCATGGTGTCTAAACACGATGAACTTCATCCTTTCGGCATCTTCTCCTTCAAAACAGGTCAAAACCCTCAAAGTCCTTCAGCCCACGATGGACAGAGTCCATCAGCAAAGACTCCTCTGAGGATGCTCTGTGTGGTCCCAGCGCTTAGCACCAAGGATCCTATCCCTGGGGTCCTCCATATCTTGGGAAAGCCGCTTCTCCAGCCCCCAGCTCTGCCTGCAGGGGGTCTTTGGGGTGTTTGGAGCAAGGCCTGGCCGTTCCTGGTGCGGTTGGAGGGGCGCATCCCCATGGTGGGCCCCCCGCTCTCACCTTGTCGATGAAGGAAGCGAATTTGTTGTTGAGCTGCTTGATCTCCTCCCGCTCCTGCGTCCGCACCTTCTGGATCTCGGGGTCGATCTCGAGGTTGAGCGGGGCCAGCAGGCTCTGGTTGATGGTCACCTCCCTGATGCCTCCCGGCGGGCAGGCGGGGAAGCCTTGGCCCCCCATCCCACTGTCGAACCCGCCACCAAAGCCACCACCAAAGCCTCCACCAAAGCCACCCAAGCCACCGCCGAAGCCTCCTCCAGCCCCACCGCCAAACACTGGCCCAGCCCCATAACCATAACCAAAGCCTCCTTGGCCACCAGCCCCGAACCCTCTGCAGACACCCCCAAACCCTCCGACAGAGGCGCTCCTATTGCCCCCTAAGGCGAAGAGGCTCCTGCTGCTGAAGCCACCGGCGTTGCCGGGCCCCCGGCATCCTCCTCGGGATGCGGAGCTGAACGTGACCTTGCTCCTGCCTCCGAAGCAAGCGGAGCTGGAGCTGAACCCTTTGCCCAGGCCACAGGACTGGCGAGACATGGCGAGGGTTCCCCGAGGGCCAACCCGTGTGGAGCCAAGAGCACAGGGTGGGAGGCGAACGGAGGCGAGTTCTGCGGGTGCAGCGCCCGATCCCCCCCTTTTTATGCGCTGCGGGAGTTGGCCGCGTGTCAGGGGAGTGGAGACGTGTCCTTGGGCTCTAATTCCAGCCATTGTTCTAGGGCTCGGAAGGGTTCCCTCCTCCCTTTGCCACCACCGTGACCTGCCTCAAAACACTCCCTCGAGAGCTAAGAAAACAACGCTCTTGTTGGTGTTGGAGCCTCCGAGCCACGCTCCCACAACGGAGCTGTCAACCCATCACCGGCCTTCCTTGAGCAGTGACAAAGCACCTCGACACGTCCCAGCCTGGAGGAGACCCTTGTTCCGGCAGGTCCCTTTGGGCTGAGCTCATGGCAGGGCCTTGGTTCACCCAATCCCGACCCAAAAGGTGGTTTCCCAATCGCGCTGATCGGGGTTGGGGCACAACCGGGAAGCGTTGGCCCTTGGCTGGGCTCTAAAATCAGGTTTGTGCCCCTTAAAAAAAGGGCTTGGAAAGGCTTTGAAGAAGGTTTTAAATCACTGCAGAGCCCTCTGGGTCTGCAGGGACCTTCAGCAGGGTGCAGAGGCCATCCCCAGCCTGAGGAGCTCAGCCCCATGGCCATGAGGGCAAGTCCCGGTCCCTGGAAGCGTTCCCGGCGTTGTTGGGATCATCCCTGAAGGGGGTCCAGCCACAGGCTCCCTGCCCGGCACTGGAGGAGCCACTTGGCAGGGGCACAGCGCTCCATTGCTCCCTTTAACTCCTATGTTAGCGATGGACGTGTCTGGAGCTTCCCCCTTCTCCCACCCTTGAAACCCCAAAGCAGAAGCTGAGGCTGCAGCAGCCATCAACCAGCGTCGTTGTTATCCCTACTGGAGATGCTCCAGGGAGAGGTTGGAGGAGCCAGCCCCATTCCCACTGGGTTTGCCTCCTGCAGACACACAAATACGGGCCTGGTGCCTCTCTCCTCCTGCTGAACCTCGGGGGCATCCCTTGAGCTGCAGCATTCCCATTGCAGGGAAGCGGGAATCTCGCAGGGATTCCCACCTGGGAAGGCTGGGGCATTCCCGGCTCACGGAGGGGACGTGGAAGCAGCGGGATCCCACCTGGGCTGCGAGGTGGAGGCTGCATCGGCCCAGCCTGACGCAACCGGCTCAGAACCCACGGAACCTGTCGGAGCAGAGCGCGGAGCCCCGGGAGTTCCCATCGGCTCCTGGCACCCATCCCGGCTCCCTGGATCAGCTGCGGGGCCGGCAAAGGGCCCTGCTGCATCCATGGGGGTCCTGCTGCACCCAAGGGGTTCCTGCTGCACCTAGTGGGGTCCTGCTGCATCCAATGGGGTCCTGCTTCACCCAATGGGGTCCTGCTTCACCCAATGGGGTCCTGCTGCACCCAAGTGGGTCCTGCTGCATCCAATGGGGTCCTGCTTCACCCAATGGGGTCCTGCTTCACCCAATGGGGTCCTGCTGCACCCAAGTGGGTCCTGCTGCATCCAATGGGGTCCTGCTGCACCCAAGGGGGTCCTGCTGCATCCAATGGGGTCCTGCTGCACCCAATGGGGTCCTGCTGCACCCAGTGAGGTCCTGCTGCATCCAATGGGGTCCTGCTTCACCCAGTGGGGTCCTGCTGCATCCAATGGGGTCCTGCTGCACCCAGTGGGGTCCTACTGCACCCAATGGTGTCCTACTGCATCCAATGGGGTCCTTCTGCACCCAGTGGGTTCCTGTTGCACCCAGTGGGGTTATTCTGCACCCAAGGGGGTCCTGCTGCATTCAATGGGGTCCTGCTGCACCCAAGGGGGTCCTGCTGCATCCAATGGGGTCCTGCCCCACCATGTGCAGTGGGAAAACCTCGCTGGGACGCGGGATCTCCTTCCCAAACCCTGTCCCATGGGATGAGCATCTTGGGTGCTCCAGCACTCGCCATGGTGTTTGGTGCACCGGTGATGGGGATGACCCTTTGGTGCATAGGGATAAAGCACCGGTGATGGGGATGACCCCTGGGGATCCCGTGTTGGCCACCATCACCCATCAGCACTGGGATGGAATGCCACGGCCACGGCAAAGCCTTGGGAAGAGCATCCCGGAGTGGGATGCGCGCCATGGAGACACCCTTCCTCCCAGAGCCATGGGGTGGGCATGGGAGGCAGATCCCGTGGGATGACCTGGGCCCACCTTGCCTCCCCCATGAGGAGAGCTGGAATCCCAGCAGCTCCTCTCTCCTGACGTGGATCCGGTCTTTCCCAACGTCCTCCTCTTGGAGAGCAGCTCGGGAATGCGGGCGACATCTCCCATTGGATCACTCCCAGCTTTCAGGCTCCATCCCTGAGGACATGGACGCCCCGAGCAGGCCCAGGAGCTCCCCACGCACATCCCAAGGGGAATCTCCTCTCCCTATAGATGGGCTTTAAGGTCCCTTCAACCCATTCCAGGATTCTATGGCAGGATGTGGCCATCTCCACCAGGCCTGGAGGCTGGGGTTTATCCTACCGGGAGCTGATGGTGCTCAGCACCTCTCACTGTGGCTCACAGGGAAGAAGCCCCTTCCCTTCAGAGCCAGTTTGAACTGGGAGTATTGCAGAGCCTGGAAAGCTTTAGAAGCTGATGGTGGGCACCATGGGCTGGGTTAGGGTTAGGGTTAGGGTTAGGGTTAGGGTTAGGGTCAGGGTTAGGGTTAGGGTTAGGGTTAGGGTCAGGGTTAGGGTTAGGGTCAGGGTTAGGGTCAGGGTTAGGGTCAGGGTTAGGGTTAGGGTCAGGGCCAGGGTTAGGGTCGGGGCGAGGGTTAGGGTCAGGGTTAGGGTTAGGGTTAGGGTTAGGGTCAGGGTTAGGGTTAGGGTTAGGGTTAGGGTTAGGGTTAGGGTTAGGGTTAGGGTTAGGGTCAGGGCCAGGGTTAGGGTCAGGGTTAGGGTTAGGCTTAGGGTCAGGGTTAGGGTCAGGGTTAGGGTTAGGGTTAGGGTTAGGGTTAGGGTTAGGGTTAGGGTCAGGGTTAGGGTCAGGGCCAGGGTTAGGGTTAGGGTTAGGGTCAGGGTTAGGGTCAGGGTTAGGTTTAGGGTTAGGGTTAGGGTCAGGGTTAGGGTTAGGGTTAGGGTTAGGGTCAGGGTTAGGGTTAGGGTCAGGGCCAGGGTTAGGGTCAGGGTTAGGGTTAGGGTTAGGGTCAGGGTTAGGGTCAGGGTTAGGTTTAGGGTTAGGGTTAGGGTTAGGGTTAGGGTTAGGGTCAGGGTTAGGGTTAGGGTTAGGGTTAGGGTCAGGGTTAGGGTCAGGGTTAGGGTTAGGGTTAGGGTTAGGGTTAGGGTTAGGGTTAGGGTTAGGGTTAGGGTTAGGGTCAGGGTTAGGGTTAGGTTCAGGGTTAGGGTCAGGGTTGGGGTCAGGGTTAGGTTCAGGGTTAGGGTTAGGGTTAGGGTTAGGGTTAGGGTTAGGTTCAGGGTTAGGGTCAGGGTTAGGGTCAGGGTTAGGTTCAGGGTTAGGGTTAGGGTTAGGGTCAGGGTTAGGGTCAGGGTTAGGGTTAGGGTCAGGGCCAGGGTTAGGGTCGGGGCGAGGGTTAGGGTCAGGGTTAGGGTTAGGTTCAGGGTTAGGGTCAGGGTTGGGGTCAGGGTTAGGTTCAGGGTTAGGGTTAGGGTTAGGGTTAGGGTTCGGGTTAGGGTCAGGGCCAGGGTTAGGGTTAGGGTTAGGGTCAGGGTTAGGGCCAGGGTTAGGTTCAGGGTTAGGGTTAGGGTTAGGGTTAGGGTTCGGGTTAGGGTCAGGGCCAGGGTTAGGGTTAGGGTTAGGGTCAGGGTTAGGGCCAGGGTTAGGGTTAGGGTTAGGGTTCGGGTTAGGGTCAGGGTTAGGGTTAGGGTTAGGGTTAGGGTTAGGGTTAGGGTTAGGGTCAGGGTTAGGGTTAGGTTCAGGGTTAGGGTCAGGGTTGGGGTCCCACAGGCAAAGAAGGAGAGGAAGGAGTCTGAGAGCTCTTGGATGGGACAAGGAGGGCTGGGAAGAGGGAATGCGGGTCCGGGATGTCCATTGGCCCCGGCAATCCCTGTGCCCGTGGGATGGGGACCACTGGGATATGCTGGGCCCGTGCCCAAGTAGAGAACAAGGTACGGAGATGCTGGGAATTCCTGGGCAGGGAATTGCAGGGCTGGGAACTGTGGAGCAAAGGGAACGGGGAGGATCCCGGCGGGATCAAAGCGGGAGCGGCAGGAGCCGGGCGGCTCCCACGGCTGCCACAGCCCAATGAGAGCCAGAGGGAGCAGCAGGGAACAGGGATCTGGGTGACACGGGACATCCAGACATGGATCAGGGTAACATGGGACATCCAGACATGGATCAGGGTAACATGGGACATCCAGACATGGATCAGGGTGACACGGGACATCCAGACATGGATCAGGGTAACATGGGACATCCAGACATGGATCAGGGTAACATGGGACATCCAGACATGGATCAGGGTGACACGGGACATCCAGACATGGATCAGGGTAACATGGGACATCCAGACATGGATCAGGGTAACATGGGACATCCAGACATGGATCAGGGTGACACGGGACATCCAGACATGGATCAGGGTAACATGGGACATCCAGACTTGGAACAGGGTGACACAGGACATCCAGACCTGGATCAGGGTAACATGGGACATCCAGACCTGGATCAGGGTGACACGGGACATCCAGACATGGATCAGGGTAACACGGGACATCCAGACATGGATCAGGGTGACACAGGACATCCAGACATGGATCAGGGTAACATGGGACATCCAGACCTGGATCAGGGTGACATGGGACATCCAGACTTGGATCAGGGTAACACAGGACATCCAGACATGGATCAGGGTGACATGGAGGAGGAAGACTTTGGGTGCTGGGTAAGAAGCTCACTCAAGTTTCTGCAGGCAGTATTTGTCTCTTTTTCCATCTATCATCCATCCATCATCATCCATCCATCCATCTGCCCACCCATTCACCCATTCATCATCCATCCATCAGCCATCATCCATCCATCCATCCATCCATCCATCCATCATCCAT